TTATTGTCCATCGAAATCTTAAAAATATATAAATATAAAAATTCAAACCAAAGTCTATAGACATATACATAAAGTTAAAAATAAAAATAATACGTTCAAGAGGACGGAAATGAAATTTGAATTCTTATATTACTTTGACTTTATATTTTAGGGTCTGTCGGCTGAAGGTTCACGAGGTTCTCGCTCAACTCCCAGAACTTTTTACCTTTGGCTGGATCGCTGACACCTGAAGACAAACTGCTCTCCTAAAAACGAAAAATATATCTACGTTGAGTATGTAATTTTTTTATACTACTTTTATAAATTAAAAAACCCATTGTAGTTCTGTTTACGTAAAAACAAAATCATGTGATTATAATTATGAAAATATTACTATCAACCAAAGTTTTTTTTCCTTATTATCAAATTCAGTCAAAGAACATAATGTGTTGCTAAAAGCGTGTTAGAAACATATTTTTTGTTATATAAAAATCACAGTATGTCGTTTAGAAAAAATGTGTGTTGAAATCATACCATATAATTCCAGTAGACTAGTTTTTATTATTTTTTTTCAAGTTTGAAATTCTTCCTTGCAAATGTTCTTGACGCACGATGAGCTTTTTTCAATTATAGTTCTTAAATTTTTCCGGAAAGTAATTTTTTATATTTTTTTGGGTGAAAAACTTGTTAACTTAGTACGATTTGCACATCTAGATTTTTAGTAAAAAATTTAATTCTTAAAAAGTTAAAAATGATATATTTTTTTGTAAATTCATACATCTTAAAGCCTTTAAACTATGAACGTGTTAACTTGAAAATTCATCGTAAAAAAATAATAATTTTCATAGCTTACTAGGACAAACATTATGTTAATATTATTTTTTTTTTTTTTCGAATATTCAGGAAAAAAAAAAACCAAAAAAATAAATAAAAATATCGTCAATAGCCGTACCGATGGCGGTTTAAAAAAAAAAAAAACAGAAAAAACGTACACGAGTTAACGTTAACAATGAGACTCGCCAATAAATTAATTTACAAAAAACCACTATTAAAAACAATGAAAAGTAAGGGTGAAAAAAAAAAAAAAAAAAAAAAAAAAACCCGTGCCAATGCTAATTTTAAGAGAGTCCGCGACAATCAACGAGTATTAGTTTTTTCCCATGTACCAAATAATGTAAAAAACCGAAAGACTCACGTGGCAGTCCAAAAAGTACTTTCCGCTGACGGTCTTGAGTTCCTCGGCCACAGCGAGATGCAGCGTCGTCTGGGCCCCCTGCTCGGGCGTCTTGAAGAATCCCTTGACGATGAGCCACAGTCCCCAGGAGAGCGGGGCCGGCACGTTGCGCCATATCCCGCTGTCAATCATGCCCGGGTGAAGGCAATTCACCGTGACCCCGGTGCCCTCGAGGCGACGGGCCAATTCTAGGCTGAACACGATGTTGGCGTACTTGGACACGTAGTACAGGTAGGCAGGCAGCGAAGTCGTTGGGTTGACATTGTCGAGGTTCAGGGTTGACAGCCGGTAGAGTTCCGATGCCACGACGACCACGCGACTCGGTGCCGAGCGTTTCAGAAGATCTGCGAGGATTGTTCACGTTGTTGGGATATTTCCGGGGATTTAAAAAAAATATATTTTACACGCAAGGAAATGATTAACTGCGTAGGTGATTAAGGTATCGAAGCCTATGTGAATTTTATGCCTTTTTTTAGTCGATGAACCCCGCGAATTTAATATTGGTTTTTGTCCCCTGAATGGATTAGTAGTTTCTTATCATCTGCAACGATAACGAGTCGGTGGGACTGAAAGTTTCATCCTGTTTTTTTTTTGTAATTACGTGTATTTAAGATAAAGTCAGTGGAGACGATGTAAATTTTACTGAAAACTAATCTACAATTATTAATTATGGACAAAAACCTGGATCGATTGACCAATACGTTCGAAGTTATTGGTCTAGTTTATTGGAAAGGAATATTTTTTTTTTTGTCTTTTGGTTGTGATTCATAAAATATATTACCAGTTACCATCGTTACTTTTCTGAGATGTCTTTTGTAACGAAAATAAAAACAAAAAATAACTGATAATAACTTACAATAATAGGTATTCAAATTTAATTTTATTTAAACTTCATTTTGTTTGGGATGCTAAAAGAGCAATGGAAAGAAAAAACGAACAAAAAAAAATAAAAAAATAAGTTACATGTCCAATTTTTCTTGAAAAAGCTTATCTCTTGCAGAAGGTAAGTGTTTCCGATAGTCTTACTTTTAGGATAGAAATTTTTCAGTAGAAAATAAAGAGGGTATATTAGGCATAGTTAAGATAAACGCTTTTCAAAATTATATTCTACAGCCAATGCAAATCATACATATTGTTTGAAATAGTCTAATAACAGTTTTTTGTTATTAATTTTGGCGTCTTCAAAAATGAATTTCTTAAAAAAAATCAAATGCGAGTTTATTTTTCTTGTTTTTTAGTGTCATAATGTATTTAAAATTGAAAACCGCTTTACTAGTGGTTTGTAGTTTAGAAAAACTGGTCCGTCAGATTGACTTGTAAAAGTCTGCACTGCAGATAAACCTCANAAAAAAAAAAAAAAAAAAAAAAAAAAAAAAAAAAAAAAAAAAAAAAAAAAAAACATCAATTTTCAACGGATGAAAACCTTATACGATACGACAAAGAGGGGTTGAACGATCAATGATGAATAAATTAGTTTGGCCAACCCTTTGATGTATTGTACCGCGATGAATAATAATTACCTTTGAGCGCTGTCGCAGCGACGACGTTTCTGCAAGCCATGATGACCCTAGCCCCGCGTTTCGCGAGATCGCGAGCAGTTTCGCGGCCAATGCCGGAGGTACAGCCAGTTATGAGGACCGTTTTGCCCTTCATGTTGGCCCGGCTCTTGCACACTCCGGTCGACAGGTACACGTACAATCGCAGGAGACCCAGCAGGAATATTACACCGCCTATCACCGCGGCTGACAGCACCAGCAGGATTATCGAGCACGACCACAGCGTCAGGTACTGCATTGTTTGCGTATAATATGATATGGTCGTGGATGCAGGTGTGATGATGCTTGTATGGATGAGATGACGATCGTCGAGTTTTTTAAATGTCTGCAAGGTGAAAAAAAAAAAAAAAATAATGATAAAATAAAAAAGAATTTCGCGGTAAACAGTTGCAAGTAACTTGGTTAGAGAATATAGAAAAATTGAATGACAAGCAAATTTTTTTTGGAAAAAAAAAAAATTTAAGAAAAAATTCATGTTGGTCTTTTTTTATTGACAAATTGATACTCGTTTCGCGAATAAAATACCTAAACATCACTTCACTCGACTTACGTGCTAAAATCATAGACATACATTAGAGACTAATCATGTCTTTGTTTTATTGTCCATCGAAATTTTTGATGACCAATGAAATAAATATTCAATTATTATGTATTTGATCGACATTACTGGGATTTTATAGCTAACCACTGGACGGGGAAATTTTGTTTGGACATCTGAATCATGATATGATTACCATTTGGCTTTTTTTTCTTGCATGAAAATTGTCATACATACTTAAATAAAAAAAATAAAAAAATGATTGAAAAAATCCGACTAACCTACGAGCAGGTGGGTAAGCAAGAAAGGTCCATAATGGTTGGTAGCCATAGTCATTTCGATGCCGTCGTCGCTGATTTTTTTGTTGAACATCTCGGCAGTGCCGGCATTGTGAATCAGAACGTCGAGCCGGTTTTCCTCGCGGTTTATCAGCTTGGCAAAGTCGCGCACCGAATCCAGTGACGAAAGGTCAAGCTTGCGCACCACGATCTCGTTGTTACTGCTCTCTTTTACTAGTTCATCTGTAGACGAATTATCAGAGATTATTACTTATAAATATATATATTTTTTTTTTATTGGTAAAAGCGGTTTTTTACGCGTTTCTTTAATTATTGCTGATACTACAATACATGTAGTGAACTTTTTTTTTCAGTATTTTTATTAAAAATCAAATTAACAACAAAAAAATACTTGATTTTTCGTGGTATTGTTTAAGTGGCCAAAATATTTTGCTGATTGTATTAATAATCGATTGTTAATGAATCGCTTAATCAACAAGTCTTTCCTTTTACGGTATATTTTTGTTGAATACAATTAATTCAATTGGTAGTAAAATTAAATAACAATCTATTTTATTTCATGATTACATGTGAATTTGGCAATGGATATTTTGACAGTTTTGTTATGAAAACAGTTTTTTGCTAAAAATCTATAGTATTTTTATCATG